GCAAAATCGCCGATGCGTAAACATCATTGAGACCGCTAACTTCGTGAGAGCATAATTCCATAAGTTTTCCATCAAATTTCATACTTTTGGTGTCATTATGATCGGGAAAAGATTCTCTATCTTTTCATAAAAAAAATATTTTTTTTTTTTATTTTTGAAATTTGGGGGGGCCCTGAGAACAAGTCTCTGAGAGGGCCTGTGGACCCTGAAATGGTTAATGAAGGGCACCCAAGAAGAAAACATTTACAATCACTCTAGCTGCTTTTCCAGATGGGCATTTAACACTTTGGTCCAGTGTTAACCCACCAATTCACATTTCTAGTTCCATTCCATAATGCAGCCATTGTACTTAATTTTTTAGCCTCCAGTAAGTTTTCTTGAATCCTTTCATTACCTTACACTCTCTCCAAACAGCATATTAAATACCATAGATAAAAACACAGTTATGTATCATCATATGCAGATACCAAAATAAGCATGAAAAATCACTTCGGTAGAGCACACGAGAAAATTGCAGAATGATAATATAAACAGTCTTCCAGTGCGCAGTGGAGAACAACATGACGTTCATTAGTGACATGTTCCATCTACTTAGATATGGAAAGAAGAAAGAACTCAGGAGAGGTACCATACAAAACAAGAATGAAAATAACATGCAAAAAGATCTGGGTATAATGATGTCAACCGGCCTTTCTTTCAAAGAGCACAATAAGGCATGTATCATGAAAGCCATGAAAGTGACAGTGTGGATAATGAGAACTTTCAAAACAAATGAAATAGTGCCACCAATGGTGACTCATTTCAAATCACTTGTGCCCTTTTGCTTAAAGTATTGTTCAGTGTTACCTTTGATATACCTTTGAGTTTCAAGCTAAAACATTGTGTAGTTTTAAAAATAGGTTAGATAAATACAAAATTGGGTGTGAAATGGACCTGACTAGCTTATGCTAATAGGTCTGATGCAGTTCTCCTTTCTTCGTAAGTGGATGTGACCTGGACCTGACTAGCTTGGGTCAGTGGCTTAAGCTCGTAGGTGACTTGGACTTGCCTCACATGGAACAGTAGGCCTGTTGCAGTGTTCCTTCTTTCTTATATTCAAGAGTTTTTCTACTCCTGGAGCCTGGCCGTGGACCAGGCTCGTTAACTTGCATCTGAATCATAGCGCTCTCATATATGCTGCGAGAGGAAAACTGGCCTAGACATGAGAGAATAGGTCTGTGTGGTGAGTGTACACAGTACGGGTACAAAAAGAAATCCTGCACCATACAGTGCACGGTTGGAGCAACTAACCTCTGACCTTGTTAGTCATTTTCTAAGATGGTTTTTATGTAGATACCCCAGTATCCTCCCATTCTTGTTTTATGGGTTTTTAATAGGTCTGATTCAATTATGGGGATACTGTAAACCATAACCAAGCATTCGTGATTATATAATATCATCCTGGAACTAGATTAAATTTTTGTGTGATTATAAATTCAGAATTGAATGCAAGTGTAATATAGAAGAGGCCAGGGGATGTGACCAGTGAACAAAGAAAATGTTTTAGTACTAGGAATGTCTACATTGTTTATTTTGCACTGTTTTTAAATTTGTATTTTTTAATTTTGTGTAAAACTGGCTACATTATGGATTTCTGTGCACTTTATAGGGTAGTTGCAGTAGTTGAATGAGTTCTTTCTTGTGTTGATAGAGCAGAAGGCATACTAAAAAAATAGTTAAGAATTTGGTTGGATGGAGTAACGAAATTAACTTTAACCCTTTGACTGTTTTCGACGTATAAATACGTCTTACGAGCCAATGTTTCTGACGTATATATTTTTATATTTATATTATATTATCACACCGGCCGATTCCCACCAAGGCAGGGTGGCCCGAAAAAGAAAAACTTTCACCATCATTCACTCCATCACTGTCTTGCCAGAAGGGTGCTTTACACTACAGTTTTTAAACTGCAACATTAACACCCCTCCTTCAGAGTGCAGGCACTGTACTTCCCATCTCCAGGACTCAAGTCCGGCCTGCCGGTTTCCCTGAATCCCTTCATAAATGTTACTTTGCTCACACTCCAACAGCACGTCAAGTATTAAAAACCATTTGTCTCCATTCACTCCTATCAAACACGCTCACGCATGCCTGCTGGAAGTCCAAGCCCCTCGCACACAAAACCTCCTTTACCCCTCCCTCCAACCCTTCCTAGGCCGACCCCTACCCCGCCTTCCTTCCACTACAGACTGATACACTCTTGAAGTCATTCTGTTTCGCTCCATTCTCTCTACATGTCCGAACCACCTCAACAACCCTTCCTCAGCCCTCTGGACAACAGTTTTGGTAATCCCGCACCTCCTCCTAACTTCCAAACTACGAATTCTCTGCATTATATTCACACCACACATTGCCCTCAGACATGACATCTCCACTGCCTCCAGCCTTCTCCTCGCTACAACATTCATCACCCACGCTTCACACCCATATAAGAGCGTTGGTAAAAACTATACTCTCATACATTCCCCTCTTTGCCTCCAAGGACAAAGTTCTTTGTCTCCACAGACTCCTAAGTGCACCACTCACTCTTTTTCCCTCATCAATTCTATGATTCACCTCATCTTTCATAGACCCATCCGCTGACACGTCCACTCCCAAAAATCTGAATACGTTCACGTATATATACTCAATAATTCTAGCGGCTTCAAATCAAGTGGGAGAAAGCTGGTAGGCCCACATGTGAGAGAATGGGTCTGTGTGGTCAGTGTGCACCACATAAAAAAAATCCTGCAGCACACATTGCGTAATGAGAAAAAAAAAACTGATCGTTTTTTTGGAATAAAACGCCGACTTTGAGGTGTATTTTCGTATAGTATTTATCGTTGTATTCGCGTTTTCATGGTCTTAGTTGATAAAATGGAAAACATATTACAGAAATAGAGATGATTTTCATTACTTGTACGATGAAAACGACCTTGAAACTGAGCTCAAAGTAGCGGAAATGTTCGATTTTTACCAATGTTCAAGAGTAAATAAATCACACCACACGTCCAATACATGTCAACTGGGGAGTCTAATATTCTTTCACTAGTGCACTGATATTATTTATACCATTTTTACAATAATGCAGTCGTCTGCATAACAGTAAATTTTGTATTTTTTTGTATGAATAAAAAATCAAAATAGAAAGCAATAATAATATAAGAGGGGCCTAGAGATGTGACTAATGAACAGAGCATTGTTATTTTAGTGCCACGAATGTCTACCTTGTTTATTCTGGACCCTATTTTGAAATTGGCATCTTTTTTATTTTGTGTGAAATTGGCCAAATTGCCAATTTCTGACCACCATATTGGGTAGTCCAAATTAGTAAATGGGAGGTTTCTTGTGCTCAGCTGATAGTATAAAATGGAGTTCTAAAGAAATAGCTATGAGTTTGGTCAACTGGAACAATGGAATTGGCTGAAAATTGGGCTCAAAGTCGGCGAAATCGCCGATACGCACATGTCGCCGAGACCGCTAACTTCGCGGGAGCATAATTCCACGAGTTTTCGACCAAATTTCGAACTTTTGGTGTCATTACCATCGGGAAAAGATTCTCTATCATTTCATAAGAAAAAATAATTTTTTTTTTTCAAAAATTGAGCGACATAGAATGACAGTTTCAGAGAGGGGCCTGAAACAGTCAAAGGGTTAAATAAGACTCAATTGGTAATACAGTGGACCCCCGCATAACGATTACCTCCGAATGCGACCAATTATGTTAGTGTATTTATGTAAGTGCGTTTGTACGTGTATGTTTGGGGGTCTGAAATGGACTAATCTACTTCACAATATTCCTTATGGGAATAAATTCGGTCAGTACTGGCACCTGAACATACTTATGGAGTGAAAAAATATCGTTAACCGGGGGTCCACTGTATAGCCAGTGTGCAATTTGTGCTCAGACCTTTAAATTTGCATCTGCATAATTCCGTAAGTTTTCCATCAGATTTCATACTTTTGGCGTCATTACTTTCAGAGAAAGATTCAGAACCATTTCAGTAGAAAAATATTAAAAAATAAAGAAAAAATATGGACATCAGGAGCAATATTAATTTCAGTGGTCTGGATAGTTAAAAGGATTACAACAAGACTCAGAGTTGGCACAATCACAAATGCATAAACTCCCCAGATTGCCAAATTTGTGCCTGTGTAATTCTGTAAGTTTTCCATCAAATTTCTCATTTTTGTTGTCATTACTCTTAGAAAAAGATTTTATACCATTTTATTTGTTTTAAACAGCGACACTGTCAGCACTTTTAATTTTGTGGTTCGTGGATTTTTTGATTTGTGTAAAATTGGCCAAATTACTGACTTCTGAGCATAGTGTGGGAAGGCATATTAGCAAAATAGACAGGAATTGTATCAATTTTAGCTATTGAATTAGCCTTTAATAAGCCTCAGTGAGTGAAGTTGTGGTTGTCAAGTGCTTTCTAACCTTCCACATGCCTGTGTAATTCTGCAAATTTTACATTAAATTTTTCATTTTTGGTGTCATTACCTTTAGAAAATGATTTCCTGCCAGTTTAGAAGATAAAATTATTATTTTTTACATTGTGACACTGACTGACCCATGTAATTTTAGGGGTCGTGACAGTTAATGAGTTAATGTACAAATTAATTCCTGTTTGCCCCCCAAGAGATATTTTAGTCTTGTTGATCTTTTCATTGTCCAATAATCATGGCACCAAAGTGGATTGCTAGTAATACTGGGAGGGAGGAAGAAGGCAAGAATGTCACAATAATAAGAAAATAGATAGCATGTTTATATAAGATGGCAGTGGTATACCATTACCTTGGATATACATTTGATGAGTTTCGAGAGTTTTTTTTTTTTTTTACTCCTGGAGCCCAGTCATGGGCCAGGCTCATCTGGCCCTCGCCTGATCAACCAGGCTGGTAGTTATAAATGCTTTTATAGGATGTAAATACTGTATTTTATTTACATCCATCTCTTGTCAGTTCATAACCATGCTCATTGCTAGTGATACATTACATCTGACGAATGTGAAAATGTGACAAGACTGAAACAGATATTATTGTGTATGTAAACATTGCAGGAAGAAAATTGTTGCACATTTGACATTTCCTTGAATGATAGACAGTGGCATAAGCCAACAGGTGGTTATTCAAAGTTATTTTAGGTAGGAAAAACCTTTCTTTCATGACACTTCACTGTAGTGGGACTTTCATCGAGTACCTATTAAAGATAAAACCCCATAATGGGTGAAATGTAAAATAGTGTATCCTTGTTATCTGTAGTGGTTCTAGGGATACATCTATGAATATTTTATTTGAATATTGTTACATTTAAAAAGAATGTGGAAGTATACAAGATTTTGTGTGTACAGTGTTAGTGGCTGATAAGATAATAGATTACAAGTTGATATGTTTGCAGCTCGGTAAGACAGATGCACTTGAATCTACAGAATGAGGATTCTCGAGAGCGCATGGGATATATTGATATACAGTACTATAATTAGTTAATTGTTCCATGGATCATTCTTCCCATGGCTCCATCTCTGGCTTGGTCTACTAAATTGGAAAAGAAACGTTATTAAGCATTTGAAAATGAAGATAAGTGTACGTATACCTAATGTAAGTTTAGGATGTAAGCTTGTAAGACTTGCATGCCATTGTACATATTCATGAGACAAAGAAAGGACCAACCCCACCAGAGCGCAAAACATATGCCATGCTTCTGGTTCACATTCATTTAACAGGGTGGTAATATCACAGTGGGTGGTCGATGTTGCCGTCAACCAGCCCACTACCAGACGTAAAATATTTTGTATTAAATATTAACCCTTAAATGGTCCAAACATATATATACGTTTTTTCAACATCTGAAAGTATGTAAAAAAATGTAATTTTTTTTGTTTTACATTTGAAAACGTGTAAAAAAAACTTTTATCTACATTTTTTTTGTTATATTTGAAAATGTCTAATATGTAGAGAGAATGGAGCGAAACAGAATGATTTCAAGAGTGTATCAGTCTGTAGTGGAAGGAAGGCGGGGTAGGGGTCGGCCTAGGAAAGGTTGGAGGGAGGGGGTAAAGGAGGTTTTGTGTGCGAGGGGCTTGGACTTCCAGCAGGCATGCGTGAGTGTGTTTGATAAGAGTGAATGGAGACAAATGGTTTTTAATACTTGACGTGCTGTTGGAGTGTGAGCAAAGTAACATTTATGAAGGGGTTCAGGGAAACTGGCAGGCCGGACTTGAGTCCTGGAGATGGGAAGTACAGTGCCTGCACTCTGAAGGAGGGGTGTTAATGTTGCAGTTTAAAAACTGTAGTGTAAAGCACCCTTCTGGCAAGACAGTGATGGAGTGAATGATGGTGAAAGTTTTTCTTTTTCGGGCCACCCTGCCTTGGTGGGAATCGGCCAGTGTGATAATAAATAAATAAATAAATATACTAAAAGTATTGTTCAGAGGGCTGAGAAGGGGTTATTGAGGTGGTTTGGTCATTTAGAGAAGATAGAGCAAAATAGGATGACTTGGAGAGTGTATAAATCTGTAGTGGAGGGAAGGATGGGTAGGGGTTGTCCTAGGAAAGGATGGAGGGAGGGGGTAAAAGAGGTTATGTGCAAGGGTCTGGGACATACAGCAGGCATGTGTGAGCATGTTGATTGGAGTGAATGGAGACAAAGGGTTTTTGGGACTTGATGAGCTGTTGGAGTGTGAGCAGGGTAATAATTGTGAAGGGATTCAGGGAAACTGGTTAGCTGGACTTGAGACCTGGAGGTGGGAAGTAGAATGCTTGCACTTCAAAGGAGGGATTTGGAATATTTGCTGCTTAGAGTGACATCTAAATTGTCATATCTGCATGCCTCTGCAAAGACAGTGATAGTGTGAATGATGATGAAAGTTTTTTTTGTTTTGAGTCACCCTGCCTTGGTGGGAGATGGCCAGCATGTTTAAAAAAAAAAAAAATGTTCTGTGGAGCAGAGGAAAGAGGGGATATGGTAATAGTCTCTTCTCAATGACTAAGTTCTGTTCCTAAGACCACGTTGGTAAATGAATTTGTTGCTAAGTGAGGAGCACACTACAATGGTAGTGGGTTTTAATAATAATAAAATAATATCTTCTACAAGTACATGTACAAGGTATGAAGACCTAGCTGACATCAATGACATACTTCTATATAGAAAGCCACTAGTTATGCAGAGCATTTCGGGCAAATTAGGTTAGTTTTGTCCCAGGATGCGACCCATACCAGTTGACTTAACACCCAGGCACCCATTTTATACTGGTGGATGAACAGGGACAGCAGGTGTCTTATGGAAACACTTCCTAATGTTTTCCAGCTGTAATGGAGAAACAAACTCCGGACCTCTGTGTGAGCTGAGTACGCTAGAGATCGAGCCATCTTTGATCTTGTTTTAATGTCACCTTTGCACCATTTATAACATTTTTGGTATATTTTTAAATGTATGGAAGAGGGTAAGGTACCTAGGGATTGGCAGAGAGCATGCATAGTTCCTTTGTATAAAGGCAAAGGGGATAAAAGAGAGTGCAAAAATTCTAGGGGGATAAGTCTGTTGAGTATACCTGGCAAAGTGTATGGTAGAGTTATTATTGAAAGAATTAAGAGTAAGACGGAGAATAGGATAGCAGATGAACAAGGAGGCTTTAGGAAAGGTAGGGGGTGTGTGGACCAGGTGTTTACAGTGAAACATATAAGTGAACAGTATTTAGATAAGGCTAAAGAGGTCTTTGTGGCATTTATGGATTTGGAAAAGGCGTATGACAGGGTGGATAGGGGGGGCAATGTGGCAGATGTTGCAGGTGTATGGTGTAGGAGGTAGGTTACTGAAAGCAGTGAAGAGTTTTTACGAGGATAGTGAGGCTTAAGTTAGAGTATGTAGGAAAGAGGGAAATTATTTCCCAGTAAAAGTAGGCCTTAGACAAGGATGTGTGATGTCACCGTGGTTGTTTAATATATTTATAGATGGGGTTTTTAAGAGAAGTAAATGCGAGGGTCTTGGCAAGAGGCGTGGAGTTAAAAGATAAAGAATCACACATAAAGTGGGAGTTGTCACAGTTGCTCTTTGCTGATGACACTGTGCTCTTGGGAGATTCTGAAGAGAAGTTGCAGAGATTGGTGGATGAATTTGGTAGGGTGTGCAAAAGAAGAAAATAGAAAGTGAATACAGGAAAGAGTAAGGTTATGAGGATAACAAAAAGATTAGGTGATGAAAGATTGGATATCAGATTGGAGGGAGAGAGTATGGAGGAGGTGAATGTATTCAGATATTTGGGAGTGGACGTGTCAGCGGATGGGTCTATGAAAGATGAGGTGAATCATAGAATTGATGAGGGGGAAAAGGGTGAGTGGTGCACTTAGGAGTCTTTGGAGACAAAGAACTTTGTCCTTGGAGGCAAAGAGGGGAATGTATGAGAGTATAGTTTTACCAACGCTCTTATATGGGTGTGAAGCATGGGTGATGAATGTTGCAGCGAGGAGAAGGCTGGAGGCAGTGGAGATGTCATGTCTGAGAGCAATGTGTGGTGTGAATATAATGCAGAGAATTCGTAGTTTGGAAGTTAGGAGGAGGTGCGGGATTACCAAAACTGTTGTCCAGAGGGCTGAGGAAGGGTTGTTGATGTGGTTCGGACATGTGGAGAGAATGGAGCAAAACAGAATAACTTCAAGAGTGTATCAGTCTGTAGTGGAAGGAAGGCGGGGGTAGGGGTCGGCCTAGGAAAAGGTTGGAGGGAGGGGGTAAAGGAGGTTTTGTGTGTGAGGGGCTTTGACTTCCAGCAGGCATGCGTGAGCGTGTTTGATAGGAGTGAATGGAGACAAATGGTTTTTAATACTTGACGTGCTGTTGGAGTGTGAGCAAAGTAACATTTATGAAGGGGTTCAGGGAAACCTGCAGGCCGGACTTGAGTCCTGGAGATGGGAAGTACAGTGCCTGCACTCTGAAGGAGGGGTGTTAATGTTGCAGTTTAAAAACCGTAGTGTAAAGCACCCTTCTGGCAAGACAGTGATGGAGTGAATGATGGTGAAAGTTTTTCTTTTTCGGGCCACCCTGCCTTGGTGGGAATCGGCCAGTGTGATAATAAAAAAAAATAAAAATTTTAAATGTTTATATAGTAGTGTACAGAATAGAGGAAATCAGCTCCAGTATATATTATTTAGTTGTTGGTAAACAAGTACGTCGCTAAGTGAGGCTGGGCTGTATATACATGGAAGGTGCTTGGGGGGCCTGGTCTCATTCGAAGTATTTTAAATACTTCAATAATTATGGCAATATAAACTTCACTCGTCTAAATGCTGTATTGAATAGAATGTCACTATTAGAGAAACCAGGTTATTTATTATTTTTGAACTGTTTATAATTAATTTTTTTAATCCTATTTCAGGCATGTCTAATGGAACTGATAAACCTGGCTATATGAACAGTTTTATGTCTTTCCTTGAACATAATGAACCAGGTGAGAAATCTGGTGCACAACTGAGTGAACATCAAGGTGCACATCCTGGTGAACACCAAGGTGAACAGTCTGGTGAACCAGGTGATCGACCTGTTGAGCATCTTGGTGAACAAGCTGATCAGCCTGATGAACAGCCTGAAGATATGGATGACCAACCTGAAGAGCACCTAGATGAGCACGATGAACAGCCAGAAGAGGACCCTGATGATCCGCCTGAAGCGCCCCTTGATGAACAACCTGATGAGCCTGTTGATGAACAGCCTCCTGAACCTCTTGATGACCAACCTGATGAGGACCTTGATGAACAGTCTGGTGAAATGAATGATGCTCAACGAGAACAATGCACTGCATCAGGTACGTTGAGTATCATTGGAAAAATTCAAATTTTCTTGGGGCATGGGGAATGTGATTGAGCCAGGAACTTGTATTTCCTGTAACTTCTCCCTGTGCAAAGAGTAGTAGTTCTGCTTTGCCCTATGAAATTGAGCATGATAACCAGGCATCCAAAATATTATCCCTCTTAGACATCAAGATATCATGAATGTAGAAACAGTCATAATACTCCTTTGATATACATGTACCTCTATACCTTTGATAAGTTCCGAGAGTTTTTCCACTCCTGCCAAGCTCATCTGGTGCTTGTCTGATCAGCCAGGCTGTTGCTGCTGGTGGTCTGCTGACCCACATATCCATCACAACCTGGTTGGTCTGGCACCTAGTGAAGATACTTGTTCACTTCTTTCTTGAAGCTTCTTGATGGAGCAGTTCACAACTAACCCACAAATTGTGGATGAAACTAGGTGACATTGCAGTTCATTCTTGATTAGTAAGGCGCCTTCATGCCAGTGAAAGACTGAAACTGAAACCTATCCTTTCTTTGGGTTGAGCCTAATTGCTTCTCCTTTCCCAGGCACTATTGAGGTTATGCTGTCATGTGACTAGTAGACTTATTTACATGTGTTAGCCACATTGGATGCAACTCCATTCAAATTTGTATGGATAAGCTGTGTGATAAACTCGCGATTTATATCATTGTAGTGAACGGTATCTCTGTTTGCATTGGAAAGGATGCAAAAGCCTACAAGGCTGTGGCAACGGCAAGGACTGTGCCTTGGTCTAGTAGAAAAAATGTACGGCAAAAGCAAACCTTTTGTACTAAATGCGATGGTTCATTTACAAGAGGCTTAATAAAGGGAATTCAGATTGGGAAAATAATAAATATTATATAAGCAAAAGGTTCAGTATAATAAATTTATAAGTTTGGGGTTGTGACCTAACTGAATGAGTCAGTTTAAGATCAGTCAGTGGAAATCAGTCATAAATGGGGTTGGAAGACATAGACTAGAGGAAACATAAGAGTTACAGAGTGATGAAGGATCGTGGAAATTGACTAATAGATGCCTGTGATATATACCTGTGATTTTTTTTTTTTTTTTTTTTTTTTTTTTTACTCTGGAGCCTGGCCTTGGGCCAGGATTGTCTGGTGTTTACTCCCTGTGAGATTTGAAATGTCACTAAGGTTTAGGGGATGTTATTCCCTACACCACCACAAAAATCAGGGCATAGTTGGTTATTGTTAATAAAATTGTCAATGGACAGTATTAGTAGCAGGTGACAATAAGTAAACTCTTTAATATGAATTCAAATCTTGCATTAAAATCTGTCCAACTCATAATCTCATTATTTTTATGGATGAATGTAATAAGAGAAATTCATCTTACGAGCTTACGAGAGAACAGGTCCTGTATATAAATTTTGTTAGCCTGGGTGCAAAAGGATGTACAGCACTGCACTGGTAATGAGTTTCCTCATTAAAGCACATGCTCATAGATTGTACATTCTGACATTATTAGTGTGGTGGATTCTTCATTTTTAATGAGTGGAAAATTAATTAATGCTTTAAGAAAATAAGAATTTTGAATGTACAGTAATTAAAATTTTGGAGAATAGATATTACAAAAATGTGGATGGAACAATTTACAAATAACTGAAATGGACCACTGTGACTTGACAGTGGTCTAATACAGGGCAAAATGTCATCTTGTATTGGAATAGCTTGATTTTTTTTTGAATGAAATGGTCAAATCCCACCGAGGCATGGTGATTAGTTTTATGGATGAAAAATAAGTTTTGCTAAATAGAGGTTTTAGTATAATATCTTTACCTTTTCTGTTTTTAGAAGCAGATGAGGCTCGGTCAGACAGTAGAAGCCCTGAAAATAATTTATTGGCGGTTAAAGTGAAGCCGGAACCTATTGAAATCAAGACAGAGGTATTTGCAACATCTATAGAGTTTGATCCCCCTGAAGAGGATGTCACACCAACAGACCATACTCCAGCTGATCCCTCCTTTACTACAGATATACCTCATTCAGGCTATCCATTACATACAGACTTAAGTGAAAAACCATCTATTGATGGGGAAAACACCAACAGTTCGGAAGCCACAAACCATAGTGAGGGTACAGAAGCCAATAAAAGTGGTCGCCGTAATGTGGCACGTAGGGGTCGCCGTGGCAATAAAGGCCCAGGTCTAAACGCTGGAGGTGAGTTGCTTTTTGTTTTCTGTAGCCAATTTTACATGAAATGTGCAACCTAATTATTCTTAAAGTACTCTATTGTATTCCAGAAATGTTATTTAATCTGCTTTTATAATATCCTAAGTTAATTACTTTGAGAAAATAGTGAAGTGCTTTTCATGAAGTGCATTTACAAAGTTTTGTGTTTGTAGCTTGTGTCACAGGTAAGACATCAACATGCAAAATAGACGACTCTCCTGAGAAGACATCCTGGCATAATAAGTTAAACAATTGGTGTAAATATGGTGTTCAAGAAATCACACTACTAGGCTTAAAGTAGTATATAAACTTGGGGTGAGCATATACGAGTACAGGGTCTCATAGGGAGTATGGTGCATAGTGGCAAGGGGGCTAGGTAAATGAAGGTCCAGTGGCTGTTCCTGTGCCTTCCCTCTTGAATTATTGCATGATCTTTCAAATAGAGCTGAGTTGCCTTTTTGTCAGACCACTTTATCTGGAACACATTTTAAATAGGATTTAGTATTTTTTGTTTACATATTAAATTTATAGACTTGATTTTTATTATAAATTTGTTTAACAGTTTAGGACACATTGCATTTTCTTTGTTATATTGCATAATAATAATACATAAGATATTACATAACTTTTTCCCTCAGTATTCTTGCTGTAAATATTTTGGGCTGGTGTAAAAAGGTAAATAGTATGAATTGAACATAATGGATTTTTTTTAAGTATATTTCTTACTTTTAATCATTTATTATATTTTTAAATTAGTAGTCTTAACACAAACATTGTTCATATTTCTGTGAATATACATTTTTTAAATTTTAAGGAAAAGCTACTTTTTTCAATTTCTAACTTTCAGGAACCCCACAAAGAGAAAATTTACGAAGAACAGCACGGAATGTTCAACGTTATGGTCATATTGATGCAGAATCTGATGGATTTGCTGACTCGGATCCTGATTTTCATTTAAGTGATTCTGATGATGACCCAGATTTTAATCCCCTCAACAAAAAGGTATTGTGTGACTACTTAGGTACCACTACAGTAGAGTATGCTTATGATAAACCTTCATGTAGATGTGTGTAATACAAAAAATTTACCTTGCAAAATTTTCTTGAGAGATGAGCAATTACAAATACAGTGGACCCCCAACTTACAATATTAATTCATTCCAGAAGTCTGTTCAGGTGCCGTTAAAGAACGAATTTGTTCTCATAAGGAATATAAATTAGATTAGTCCGTTTCAGACCCCCAAAAATACACGTACAAAAGCACTTACAAAAATACACTTACGTAATTGTTCGAATTGGGAGCTGATCGTATGGCGGGGGTCCACTGTACTATGTAAGAGTGGTAAATTCATCATTCTTTCTTTTCTGGTTGACATGTCATATACTTGCTGTGGCTTTTTTATGTTCTTTGATTACACATTTTTGCTGAAGGCAAAATCATCTGCCATTAGACACTTCTCTGATACTGTACTGATAGAGTATAGGGAAGGTGTACCATAATGATACTCCCTGATACTGTACTGTCATCCTATTCTGCTTCATCCTCTCCAAATGCCCAAACCATATTAACAGCCCCTCTCTAACCCTCTTTGAGTTATACTTTTGGTGACCCCACACTATTTCTAAGTTCTTTGCATAATAGTCATACCACACATCACCCTCAAATATGACATAGCTACTACCTCCAGCCTCCTCCTTTAAGCAATTAAAATCCATTCCTCACACTTGCATAATTTTTGGTACTGTTCTACTCTGGTACATTCTCCTTTTTACCTTCATAGGTAAATTTCTTTTCCACAAATATTTTAACATTTCACAAATATTTTAACACACCTACCATCTTCTACCCCCCCCCCTCCATCCCTCATCTGTTCTATTGTTCACCTCTTTTTTTTCACAGATTCATCTGCTGATATATCGCTCCCTATTATCTGAATGCTGTACGTTCATGTCCTCCATACTCCCTACCTACAATCCAATGCCCACATTTTCATTGCATAGAATCTTTTTTTTTTTAACAAGTCGGCCATCTCCCACCAAGGCAGGGTGACCCAAAAAGAAAGAAAATCCCTAAAAAGAAAATACTTACATCATCATTCAACACTTTCACCTCACTCAAACATAATCACTGTTTTTGCAGAGGTGCTCGGAACACAACAGTTTAGAAGCATATACGTATAAAGATACACAACATATCCCTCCCAACCGATAATATCCCGAACCCCTTCTTTAGAGTGCAGGCATTGTACTTCCCATTTCCAGGACTCGAGTCCGGCTATATAAAAATAACCAGTTTCCCTGAATCCCTTCACTAAATATTACCCTGCTCACACTCCAACAGATCGTCAGGTCCCAAATACCATTCGTCTCCATTCACTCCTATTGAACGCGCTTATGTACGCCTGCTGGAAGTCCAAGCCCCTCGCCCACAAAACCTCCCTTATCCCTTCCTTCCAACCTTTTCAAGGATGACCCCTACCCCGCCTTCCTTCCCCTACAGATAACTTTTTCTTATGTTCACTAATTTTCTTTCACGAGCCCATCCCCATTCCCCCAAATTCCTCCTCCAACTTTTGAATATCTTTTGAGAATATCTCAAAGGATCAACTGAAACAACTCCAATTTTTATAAGATTTCCCATCCTTTAACCCTTAAACTGTTAGATAAAAGGACACAAGTGCAACTAATGTGACATTTTATTGTGGAAACACTTTGGCTCTCCAGAAGTTTTATCAAGTTATTACAGCTTGATAAAGCTCCTGGAAAGTGAAATGTTGCCACAGTAAAATGTCACATTAGTTCCACTTGTGTCCTTTTACCTAACATATTGTTGGTAATTCTACCAGCATTAATACAACCCTTAAACTGCTGGATACCCAAAAAATAAAATTTCTGTATGTGTGTGGGAAGATTTTGAAATTGATGTGCTGTTGGCAACAGTGGTACTAAAGCCCCAGTTAGTATTTTAGGTTTATGGTTTTACTGAGCCAAATAAAATTCAGTTTTCAATTTTTTTTTTTTTTTTTTTTTTTGGGCATTCACTGATTACCATGTTTTGCTATTAAAATATCCTGATTTCAAGCTATAATAATTCTGTAAATAGATTGGAAGGCACGCTGCATTGTAATAACGTCAGTATTCACTTTATACGTAATTTGCACAAAAACATGGTTTATCTTATACCTAATGATTCTTTCTGTCACGCAACACTATGTACTGTTTCGAGTTATGATATTCGTTAAAGCATGGCTTGAGGTACAGTGGCATACCACATAATTTAGATATATCATGTATCTGTTGGCTTGCTTGGCTTTTTGGGTGTGTGCTGACATCCATAGCATTGTTTCTATGCATTTTTCTTGTCTGTAGCATGAATAGTATCAGGGAAGTGTGCATCAGGCTTCAGCTGAAATGTATCACACTGCCATGGTGGTGACATGTTGGCTGAGCCCTCACCTACTGGCCTGGTGCAAGTATGAGTGGTGGGGGGGGGGGGGTGGTGAAGAGGGTTGGAATAGTTTTAAAAATGCAGTATTAGAATGTGGGGCAGAAGTTTGTGGTTATAGGAGGGTGGGTGCAGGAGGAAAGAGGAGTGATTGGTAGAATGATGAAGTAAAGGGTGTGATAAAAGAGAAAAAGTTAACTTATGAGAGGTTTTTACAAAGCAAAAGTGTTATAAGAAGAGTAGAGTACATGGAGAGTACAAGAAAGGTGAAGAGAGTGGTGAGAGAGTGCAAAAGGAGGGCAGATGATGGAGTGGGAGAGGCACTGTCAAGAAATTTTAATGAAAATAAGAAAAATTTTTGGAGTGAGTTAAACAAGTAAAGAAAGCCTAGAGAATGAATGGATTTGTCAGTTAAAAACAGAGTAGGGGAGTTAGTAGATGAGGAGATGGAGGTTTTGGATAGATGGTGAGAATATTTTGAGGAACTTTTAAATGTCGACGAAGAAAGGGAAGCGGTAATTTCGTGCACTGGCCAGGGAGGTATACCATATTGTAGGAGTGAAGAAGAACGGGATAAGTGTGGGGAGGTGCGTGAGGCATTACGTACAATGAAAGGGGGTAAAGCAGCTGGAACTGACGAGATCATGACAGAAATGTTAAAAGCAGGGGGGGGGGGTATAGTGTTGGAGTGGTTGGTATTTTTGTTTAATACATGTATGAAAGAGGGAAAGGTACCTAGGGATTGGCAGAGAGCACGTATAGTCCCTTTATATAAAGGGGAAGGGGAACAAAAGAGATTGTAAAAATTATAGAGGAATAAGTTTACTGAGTATACCAGGAAAAGTGTACGGTAGGGTTATAATTGAAAGAATTAGAGGTAAGACAGATTGCGGATGAGCAAGGAGGTTTCAGAGTGGGTAGGGGATGTGTAGATCAAGTGTTTACATTGAAGCATATATGTGAACAGTATTTAGATAAAGGTAGGGAAGTTTTTATTGCATTTATGGATTTGGAAAAGGCATATGATAGAGTGGATAGAGGAGCAATGTGGCAGATGTTGCAAGTACAGTGGACCCCTGGTTAACGATATTTTTTCACTCCAGAAGTATGTTCAGGTGCCAGTGCTGACCGAATTTGTTCCCTTAAGGAATATTGTGAAGTAGATTAGTCCATTTCAGACCCCGAAACATACACGTACAAACGCACTTACATAAATACACTTACATAATTGGTCGCATTTGGAGGTGATCGTTATGCGGGGGGTCCACTGTATATGGAATAGGTGGTAAGTTACTAAATGCTTTAAAGAGTTTTTATGACGATAGTGATGCTCAGGTTAGGGCGTGTAGAAGAGAGGGAGATTACTTCCCAGTAAAAGTAGGTATTAGACAGGGATATGTAATGTCACCATGGTTTAATATATTTATAGATGGGGTTGTAAAAGAAGTAAATGCTATGGTGTTCGGGAGTGGGGTGGGATTAAATTAGGGGGAATCAAAAACAAATTGGGAATTGACACAGTTGCTTTTTGCTGATGATACTGTGCTTATGGGAGATTCTAAAGAATGTTTTTAGATACTTTGGAGTTGACGTGTTGGCGGATGGATTTATGAAGGATGGGTTAGTCATAGAATTGATGAGGGAAAAAAAGGTGAGTGGTGCGTTGAGGTGTATGTGGAGACAAAAAACGTTGTCAGTGGAGGCAAAGAAGGGAATGTATGAAAGTATAGTAGTACCAACACTCTTATATGGGTGTAGGCTTGGGGTGTGAATGCAGCAGCGAGGAGGTGGTTGGAGGCAGTAGAGATGTTCTGTCTAAGGGCAATGTGTTTTGCAAATATGCAGAAAACTCGGAGTGTGGAAATTAGGTGTGGAGTTAATAAAAGTATTAGTCAGAGGGCTGAAGAGGGGTTGTTGAGGGGGTTTGGTCATTTAGAGAGAATGGATCAAAGTAGAATGACATGGAGAGCGTATAAATCTGTAGGGGAAGGAATGCAGGGTAGGGGTCGTCCTCGAAAAGGTTGGAAGGAAGAGGTAAGGGAGGTTTTCTGGGCGAGGGGCTTGGGCTTCCAGCAGGCATGCATGAGTGTGTTCGATAGGAGTGAATGGAGACGAAAAGTATTTGGGACCTGACGAGCTGTTGGAGTGTGAGCAGGGTAATATTTAGTGAAGGGATTCAGGGAAACCAGTTATTATATATAACCGGACTTGAGTCCTGGAAATGGGAAGTACAATGCCTGCACTCTAAAGGAGGGGTTTGAGATATTGGCAGTTTGGAGGGATATATTGTGTATTTTTATACGTATATACTCCTAAACTGTTGTATTCTGGGCACCTCTGCAAAAACAGTGATTGTGTGAGTGAGGTGAAAGTGTTGAATGATGATGAAAGTATTTTCTTTTTGGAGATTTTCTTACTTTTTGGGTCACCTTGCCTCAGTGGGAGATGGCCGACTTGTTGAAAAAAAACACATACACAACACACACTACACCAAACACACACACCACACAAACACACTCCACACACACACACACACACACACACAACAACTCACACACACAACAACACACTCAAACACCTCACACAAATTCACACACAAAACACAACTAATACTACAAACAAACACAACACACAAACACACACACAATACACACACACACAATACACACACACACAAATCACATCACCACAAAACACACACACTCAAACATCTCAACCAACACAACAACACCATATTCTACAATACTCAAAACACTCACATCTAAACACACACTCATCTATAATACTTTAATCTATACACCACTATTACTATATATATCATCATTTTAATCAAAATACTCATCAAAAAATACATCATCAAATTCTCAAAACTAAACATATATAATAAACTCACTCTCAAAACACCTCTAACATCCACTCACACATCCACATCTCTATATCACAACTCTACACAACTCACAATACACTACCATACAAAACATTCACCTAATAACACAACCAAACTCACCTCACTCTCATAAACTACTACTCAACTCACTCATCTCTCATATACTTCTCAAACTACACCATCAATACCACTCACACATCATAATAAATATCAACTCACACTACACCAAAAACCTTACACATCACTCCTCACTCTACACATAACAAATCTATCACTCACACACTACAACATCACACACACAAACACACTACTACACACACACAAAATCACACTATCAACCTACTACACACTATCACTATCATATCATCTATCATCACTTCACTCACTACTCACTAGATAGACATCAGAGTAGACAGATACGATGATGCACTATGACTCAGCGATCAGTCTCAGATACTCAGACTAATATCAGGCATACTCAGCTACTCATAGGACTCAAGATCACTAACTCACGATACTCATTCACTCACTCACTCACTCACTCACTCTCTCACTCTCTACTGTTATACTTCCACTACTCACTCATCTCACTCTCTCACTCTCTCACTTCTCTCTCACCTCTCTCCACTATCTCACTCTCTCACTCTCTCACCTCACTCTCTCTCCACTCCTCACTCTCACTCTCACTCACTCTCACTCTCTCACTCACTCTCACTCTCTCACTCTATCACTCTCTCATCTCACTCTCTCACTCTCTCACTCTTCACCTCTTCACTATCTCTCTCACTCTCTCACTCTCTCACTCCCTCTCACTCTCTCACTCTCTACTCTCACTCTCTCATCTCTCTCATCTTTCACTCTCTCACTCTCTCTCTCATCTCTCTCTCTACTCTCTCCTCTCTCACACTACACACACACACACACTCTCACTCACTCTCACTCACACTCACACACACACACAGAGAGAGAGAGAGAGAGAGAGAGTCAGTGGTACCTCGGGATACGGACAGTTCAAAACACGAACAGTCATGTAAGTGCTTTTGTAAGTGTGTTTTTGGGGGTCTGAAATGGATTAATCTAATTTACATTATTCCTTATGGGAACAAATTCGTTCGATATCATCACTCGAACAGCCTTCTGGAATGAAATAAGTTCGTATACTGAGGTGCCACTGTATTTTTTATTAATATTTTGGGTCACCCTGCCTCTGTGGGAAATGGCCAGTGTGTTAAAAAAAAAAAAATATAGGTTTAACATTAGTAGTTATAAAAATGTCATTTTTTTCAGGTATCTCCAATGAGGGATATCCCCAGTAGGAGAAATACCTTAGTTTTACCGTGCTTGTTATATATATCTTGATAATATTTCCTTTTTACCTCATCACTTTAAAGAGTAAATCATCAGCATTGTAAGCTATTCTGTAATATTCAGTAATGTACTGGACTATTTTAGTAAAACCTTTGTATATATTATTGTCTTTACTTTAAACTTGTAAATTGCTTATTTTCAGACAAATGCATTAAGCGATGAGGAAGAATTTCGACCTCGAAGAGGTCGTGGACGAGGGCGAGGATCAGGAGGACATAGAGGTGAGTTTTAATGTCAATTTTTATTTTTATTAAACCTTTCTGTACACAATTTAAGCTTATTGCATGACCACCCAGCAGTAATTTCCCAGATTTTAGTCTAAGGAATATGGCCTGTGTTTCCCTCCTTGGATCAAACCTGAATGCCTCTTATTCTCCAAGCGCTAAACCCCTATGGTTTTAGTATTCTCCCTTGAATGTAATATACAGTAGTCATGTTTCTTTGATAAAGTACTTAAATTATATTTTTAATTGTACCGTGAACAACTTTGTCAGGTCATTTATTGTATAATACTTTATTTAGACCACTGATTGGTTGAATTACTTTTGACTTTACCCATGGTGTAAACATCACTCAATAAGGGGAAACTCAGATGTGCCCACCATATGATGCGGGGTCAAGTTTAACAGCTCAGATTAGGTTGCAGCTGGCAAAAGGGGAAAAACTAAAATCATGCATCTATACTACATGCTTATATCTTATTATTCATTCTCCATTGCATATTTAAAGAGAATAGATATGCTTTGAATATTTCTCCTTTGCATGTGCATTAATTGCTCATAAAGCTGTTAAGTCTAAAATTTAGCTTGATATCTTTACCCTTTAATATTGGTTTTGGAATTAAGGTTTGCATTATAGATTGTCGTTTGTAAAATATAATTTATTAGGGATTTTATTAGAGTTTTGATGAGGATAGTGAGGCTCAGGTTAGGGTGTGTAGAAGAAATGGAGGCTATTTCCCGGTAAAAGTAAGTCTTAGACAGGGATGTGTAATGTCACCATGGTGGTTTAATATATTTATAGATGGGGTTGTAAATGAAGTAAATGCTAGGGTGTTCGGGAGAAGGGTGAGATTAAATTATGGGGAATTAAATACAAAATGGGAAGCGACACAGTTACTTTTTGCTGGTGATACTGTGCTTATGGGAGATTCTGAAGAAAAATTGCAAAGGTTAGTGGATGAATTTGGGAGTATGTGCAAAGGTAGAAAGTTGAAAGCGAACATAGAAAAGAGTAAGGTGATGAGAGTATCAAATGATTTAGATAAAGAAAAATTGGATATCAAATTTTGAGGAGGAGTATGGAAGAAGTGAATGTTTTCAGATATTTTTGAGTTGACGTGTCAGCGGATGGATTTATGAAGGACGAGGTTAATCATAGAATTGACGAAAGAAAAAAGGTGAGTTGTGCATTGAGGTATATGTGGAGGCAAAAAACTGTTATCAATGGAGGAAAAGAAGGGAATGTATAAAAGTATAGTAGTACCAACACTCTTATGTGGGTGTGAAGCTTGGGTTGTAAATGCTGCAACGAGGAGGCAGTTGGAGGCAGTGGAGATGTCCTGTTTAAGGGCAATGTGTGGTGTAAATATTATGCAGAAAATTCGGAGTGTGGAAATTAGGAGAAGGTGTGGAGTTAATAAAAGTATTAGTCAGAGGGCTGAAGATGGGTTGTTGAGGTGGATCAAATGGATCAGATGATCAGAATGGATCAAATCAGAATGACATGGAGAGCATATAAATCTGTAGGGGAAGGAATGCGGGGTAGGGGTCATTCTCAAAAAGGTTGGAGGGGGGGTAAAGGTGGTGTTGTGGGCTAGGGGTTTGGACTTCCAGCAAGCGTGCGTGAGCGTGTTAGATGGGAGTGAATGGAGACAAATGGTATTTGGGACCTGACAAGCTATTGGAGTGTGAGCAGGGTAATATTTAGTGAAGGGATTCAGGGAAACCGGTTATTTTATATAACTGGACTCGAGTCTTGGAAATGGGAAGTACAAATCCTGCACTCTAAAGGAGGGGTTTGAGATATTGGCAGTTTGGAGGGATATAAGAACATAAAGAAGGAACACTGCAACAGGTCTACTGACCCATGCGGAGCAGGTCCATATCTCCCCCCCCTCCCCTGGATTAGACCAATGACCCACCCTCCCGGGTTAGCCCAATGACCCACCCAGTCTGGTCACCTCCACTCAAGGATGGAGCACTGCATCAGACCCAGCAGCACAAGCTAGTCAAGTCCAACTCACACCCACCCACACCCACTCATGTATTTATCTAACCTATTTTTAAAACTACAAAACGTTTTAGCCTCAATAACTGTACTCGGGAGTTTATTCCACTCATCCACAACTCTATTACCAAACCAGTGCTTTCCTATATCCTTCCTGAATCTGAATTTTTCCAATTGCTGCGAGTCGTGTCTTGGCTGGAAATTTTCAGCACACTATTTACATCCTTTTTATTTATTCCTGTTTTCCATTTATACACCTCGATCATATCTCCCCTAATTCTACGCCTTTCGAGAGAGTGCAGATTCAGGGCCCTCAGTCTATCCTCATGTACGTTTTCCAGAGCATTTATATCCATTCTGTAATACAGTGACCAGAACTGAGCAGCATAGTCTAAATGAGGCCTAACCAAGGATATATAGAGTATTTTTATATGTATATACTTCTAAAGTGTTGTATTCTGGGCACCTCTGCAAAAACAATGATTATGTGTGAGTGAGGTGAAAGTGTTGAATGATGATGAAAGTATTTTCTTTTTGGGGATTTTCTTTCTTTTTGGGTCACCCTGCCCCGGTGGGAGATGGCCGACTTGTTGAAAAAAAAAAATATTAGGGTACACTTAAGGATTTTTTTTTTTTAACACTTCGATTGTTTTCCACCGAGGCAGGGTTACCCAAAAAGAAAGAAAAAAAAGTTTCCTTGTCATTCAACACTTTTACCATCACTCATACATAATCACTGTCTTTGCAGAGGCACTCAGGTATGACAGTTTAGATGTCCCTCCAAACTGCCAATATCTCAAATCCCATTCTTTAAAGTGCAGGCATTGTACTTCTCATTTCCAGGACTCAAGTCTGGCTAACCAGTTTCCTTGAATCCCTTCACAAAATATTACCCTACTTACACTCCAACAGCTCATCAGGTCCCAAAATCCATTTGTCCTCATTTGCACTTATCTAGCACACTCACGAAAGCTTGCTGGAAGTCCAAACCCCTCGCCCACAAAACCTCCTTTACCCTCTCCCTCCAACCATTTTGGGGGACGACTCTTGCCCCGCCTTCCTTCTCCTACAGATTTATACACTCAAGTCATTCTACTTTGTGACATTCTCTCTAATTGACCAAACCACCTCAATAGCCCCTCTTCAGCCCTCTGACAAATACTTTTAGTAGCTCCATACGTCCTCCTAACTTTGACACTACGAATTCTCTGCATAATATTTACACCACACATTGCCCTTAGACATGACATCTCCACTGCCTCCAGCCGCCTCCTCGCTGCAGCATTTACAAACCATGCTTCACACCCATATAAGAGTATTTGTACCACTATGCTCTCGTACATTTCCTTCATTGCTTCCATGGATAACGATTTTTGTCTCCACAGATACCTCAATGCACCACTTGCCATTTTTCCTTCATCAATTCTATGGTTAACCTCATCCTTCGTAAGCCCATCCACTGACAAGTCGGCGCCCAAATATCTGAAAATATTCACTTCTTCCATAGTCCTTCCCTCCTGTGTGATATCCAGTTTTTCTTTATCGAAATAATTTTATACCCTCATCGCCTTACTCTTATTTATGCTCACTTTCAACTTTCCATTTTACACACCCTCCCAAATCGTCCACTAACCTTTGCAACTTTTCTTTAGAATCTCCCAAAAGCACAGTATCATCAACAAAATGTAACTGTCAACTTCTATTTTGTATTTGATTCCCCATAATTTAATCCCACCCTCTCCCAACACCCTAACATTTACTTCTTTTACAACCCCATCTATAAATATGTTAAACAACCTTAGTGACATCACGCATCCCTGTCTAAGGCCTACTTTTACTGGGAAGTAATCTCCCTCTCTTCTACACACCCTAACATGAGCCTCACTATCTTTATAAAAACTCTACATCGTTTAGTAACTTACTACCTATTCCATACACTTGCAACATCTGCCACATTGCTCCACTATCCACTTTATCATATGCCGTTTCTAAATTCATTAATGCAATGAAAACTTCCCTACCTTTAAATACTGTTCACATATATGCTTCAATGTAAACACCTGATCCACACATCTCCTACTCATTCTAAAACCTCCTTGCTCATCTGCAATCCTGCTTTCTGTTTTACCGCTAATTCTTTCAATAATAACTCTACTATATTCTTTACATGGTATATACATAACCTGTACATAGAAGAGAGGAGCTTACAATGATGTTTTGGTCCGACTTGGACCATTTACAAAGTCACACTAACAAAAAGGAGAGAAGGAGGGAGTATGTATAGGCCAGCATACATTGACGGGAGCAAGAGAGGTAGTGGTGGAGGTAGTAGTAGTAGTAGTGGAGTCAGTCAAATAAGAGGAGCACTGCAAGGGAGCTAAGGGTCCACAGAGGGTAGGAGCAAGAAAACAAGGAGGAGAAAAAATATAACAATATTCAGGACAAATTCCCTAAGCAGAAGAAAGAAAACCCGAAGGAGAAAGAGAAAGAGGAAAGGGGAAGAGGGACAAGGGGAAAAAAGAATCAGGTTAAGTCATGGGTGTTCTGAAGTTTGGAGCATTTTACAATGTAATGGGAAAGGAAGGCATCTACAGAGACAAAGCAAGGACTAAGATTCATACAAGGAAAGTTATGTACCAGGAAAAATTCAACTAAATGGCGACTGTGAAAGTTTGCAGTAGTGTAGACAGTTTTAGCAGGAGACCAGTCAATAGGATGACTGTGAAGTCTGACGTGACAGAAAAGAGCATTGTTGGTGTCGGCAAGTCTAACGCTACTTTTGTGCTCCCTAAGTCTGTCAGAAAGAGATTGGCCAGTTTCACCAAAGTACTGAAGAGGACAGGAGGAACAAGAAATAGAGTAGACACCAGGAGCATCTATAGAGGAAGGAGAGGTATGAACTAGATTAGTGCGAAGAGTGTTAGTCTGGCGAAAAGTAAGTTTGATGTCTAAGGAACGGAGAGAGTTGTTGAGATCAGAAAGAACGGAAATGTAGGGAAGGCAGAGGACTGGAGAGTTCCCAGGAGTAGAGAGTTTGGGAGAGAAGAAAGTCTGTTTAGCACACGAGAAGGCAGAGTCTATGAAATGGGAAGGGTAGGCAAGACAGGAAAATGAATTATGAAGAGTGGAAATTTCTGATTCAAGGAACTGAGGATTACAAATGCAGAGAGCATGGAGAAAGAGGAAGATAAGAACAGTTTTCTTGACAAAGGAAGCATGATAAGAAAAGTAGTGAATGTACATGCATGAATGTCTGCTGACCTGTATATACTCCCTCCCTCCTCTCATTTCTGTTAGTGTGACTTTGTGAGTGGTCCAGGTTGGACTGAAATGTCGTCATAAGCTCCTCTTCTGTGTGGGGGTTATTTGTGTGTTGTTCCAGTCATGGTATTGTCCCCTGCCCCTCCACCCCCCTTTTTTTTTGTTATTTACCTGGTATACTTGGTAAACTTATTCCCCTATAACTTTTACAATCTCTTTTGTCCCCCTTCCCTTTATATAAAGGAATTACACACGCTTTATGCCAATCCCTAGGTACCTTCCCCTCTTTCATACATTTATTAAACAAAAATACCAACCACTCCAACACCCCCTGCTTTTAACATTTCTGTAATGATCCTGTTGGTTCCAGTTGCTTTTCCCCCTTTCAGAGCTGTATGACCCTTGTAATTTTAGTGCTTCTTATTTATTATAATAATAATTTACCCCCTTTCATTCTACGTAATGCCTCGTTCACCTAACATCCTGCTCTTCTTCACTGCTGAAAGATGTTATATCTCCCTGGCCAGTGCATGAAATTACTGTTTTCCTTTCTTCATTAACATTTAAAAGTTCCTCAAAATATTCTCTCCATCTACCCAATACCTCCAGCTACCCATCTACTGACTACCCTACTCTGTTTTTAACTGACAAATCTTTTCATTCCCTAGGCTTTCTTAACTTGTTTATCTCGCTTAAAATTTTGTCTTGGCAAAATTTCTTGATCGTGCCTCTCCCACTCTATTATTTGCTCTCCTTTTACACTCGCCACTCTCTTCACCTTTCTTTTACTCTCCATATACTCTGCCCTTCTTATATCACTTCTGCTTTATAAAAACCTCTCATAAGCTACCTTTTTCTCTTGTATCACACCCTTTACCTCATCATTCCACCAATCACTCCTCTTTCCTCCTGCACCCACCCTCAAGGATCAAGCCTCCAACATTCCTTGCACTTTATGATTCACATGGGTTAAGCACCCTAAATACATATAATAATAGTAATGAGAATTAATAATAATAATGTTGACATCACCCATGCTGTTTAAGGCCTTCTTTAGTTTCCTGTGTACTATTAACCATGTGGTGAATGTCTTGATTTGATTACTGATGATATTTGGGTGGTTCTCAAGAGAAGTTGCTAAGGTTCGTGAATGTTTGAGTGAATGAGAGAAGGAAATTAAAAGTAAACATTGCAGAGAGAAAGGCAATGAGAGTAACAAAAATATAAACAATAAAGGATTGGGTGGAATGAGTATGGAGGAAGTGAATATACTTAGACATTAATAAGTAGATATGCCAGCAGATGGGTCCATGAAAGATATGAAAGATGTAGTGAACCATAGAAGAGAGATTGCGAAGTATAGAATAGATATAGTGAACTATAGAATAGATGAGTTAGGGGGGAATTGGTAGATGATGCGTTGAGGAATTGGTGGAAAAAACTAGCTTATCTATAGAGGAAAAAAGGAACATGCTGGAGTATAATGGTTCCAACATTTTTATATGGGTGTGAAGCATGGGTTTCAAATTATACAAAAAGGAGGAAGATAGAGGCAGTGATACCATATTTTATAGCAATGTCTGGTATGAATATTATGCAGAGAATTTGGAGCGACGTCTAAACTGTCATATCCGGGCCACTCTGCAAAGACATCAATTATGTGTGAATGATAGTGAAAGCGTTTCTTTTTTGGGTCTCCCTGGCTCGGTGGGAGACGGCTGAAGTGTTGAAGAAGAAAAATTAAGAGCATAGAAATTAAAACCAATGTGAGGTCACCAAGGGTGTAATTCAAGAGGGCTGAACAAGGGTTATTGAGGTGGCTTGGTCATTCCAGTGAGGATGGAGAGGGGTAGGTTAGGCTGATGAAGAGTGGTAAAAGGTAGGAGATAGTTCGGAGGGTCATCTGCTTTGTGATGTTAGCAAACTTGCAAGACATCATTTGGATGAATGATGAATGTTTCCTTTTTGGGGATCACCCTTACCTTAATGGAACACAGCAGCGTTCATGTAAAAAAATAAAAATATAGTTCGTATTTGCGAAAACACTTGTAGTCAATCTCACAACAGTGAGATTGACTACTGGAATGCCTGAATACTTTTTTTTTTCCGTGAGTTTGTGTTTTACCAATTTTTTATTTTTTTTTTTTTAGTGTGGTTTGCACTAATGAACCAGGGAAGGGTAATATATAGTAGTTGCTGTTGATAGTTTTGAGAATTTAAGCTTTTTGGCAATGCAAACTGTTATTGCATGGAGAGAGAATTTTGTAACTGCTGTTTACCCTGAAGTTGATTGTTTATATTGATTGTGATGTTGCATTGAAGAAATTTTAATACTTCTCTTATTATTTTTATCTTAGGGTATGCATGTTGGATTTTGTTAATTGAGTTACTTTTATATTTTTATGGCTGTTCATGTTTTGAAAAGTAACTTACCTTGCTTTTGCCTTTTTCCTAAGGCGTATTCATTTCGCCAGGTCGAGGTGGCTCGGGCAGAGGTGGAGTGAAGCGAGCGCATGATAGCAATTCCAGCAAAGATGATTCTTCTAGTAATGCTGAGAAACTCTCTTCCACCTCTGGTGGCACTCCAATCAACCCTCCTAAGAGGCGTGGTAGACCCCCATCATATCAGAACACAACAGTAGTCAGTAGTGGTGGCGGCGGCGGCGGCGGTGGTGGCCTTGGTGGCAGCGTTGGTGGTGGCGGCGGGAGCGGTGGTGGTGCCGGCGGTGGTGCCGGTGGTGGTGCCGGTGGTGGTGCCAGTGGTGGTGGTGGTGCCGGTGGTGGTGGTGGTGCCGGTGGTGGTGGCAGTGATGGTGGCGGAGACAACACAGTTTCAAGTGTAAGTTCACTAGGTTTTTATCTGCATGTTGTAAAAGTGTTGGTAATATGAAGATCTGTTGGCTCAAGATTGGAGATGTTTAATTTGGAACAATTTTCTTAAAACTGATTGATTAAATTCACGTGCTCATAGACGGATGATAAGAAATCATCATCCAAGCTGAGCTCTGCCTACAACTATGCCAGTGGTCGAGTCCAGCGCCAACACCAGGCAATCCGGCTGCCAGAGGGGCCTCAGCTTACAGCTGAACAACTTGAAATGGTTGAATCTCAGTTCAAGGTTAGTAATAAAAAGGCAGAATGTAGAGTTACAGTTAAAAGAGGTAAGTAAATGACCTTCTAATTAAGCCATGCAGCTGCTTTTTCAGCTGAGTCTTACACTCTTTGCCATGGACGCATGTATTAACTGACATAGTACAGTAAGTCATTCTCAGTTTGTGTAATGTAATCCCCCTAAACTAAATTTCTTATGGAATTTATAAGTCAAATGGGATCTGTATGTCAAGTTATGGTATTTTTATAATAAAACTCATCTCAAGCCAAAAGTTCATATTACAACTTGCATGCTTTATAAGAACTAAATGATTTTTATAATACTTTAATTGTGTTCATGTGTGTCCCTTTGTATTATTCTGTATATTAGTGTAGAGTATGCATGGTGTTTAAAATATATATACTAGTTAGGGTTAGAGCTTGCTGTAGAAATTGTGTGCAGTTAGAAAAAATATGATTGCTTGATATTGTTCAAAAATGCTAAAGTTTCTTGGTCTACATTTCAAATTTTCAGTCCTGTCTGAATGTCCACTGTGAGAGCCATAGAATTTATTTTTTAATAAATGCTAAGGTGTGTGTGTGTGTAAAGAAGGCCTATTGTGTGGCATGCTTAGAATTTATTTTTTGTTAAATACAGAGAATGATTAAAGTTGGCCAGTAATTTAAAATGAGTGACAGTCATTGCTTCCTAAATCTCTAAACTACTATGTTTTATGGATACATTTAAACCTAATCTTTACATACTTGTTGAAAATACACTACTGCACTTGTAAATAAATTTAAACAGTGTGCAGCTAAATCTTATGACTAATTTCTTATTACAGTTTATAATAAATGTATATGTAAAATGGATAGTGAATTTTGGACATACTGTATTTGTTTCATGGTAATTTACAGCTCATAGAATATGCCTGATCCTAATTACTGTACCTTTTCCTTGGGTATGTATTATGGAAACTTAGATCATGTTTGTTTTTGCTGAACTTGATCCAGTAATTATGTACACATAATAACAAGCTTATTGTAATACCTGTACTTGCATTAATATGAGGGAGGAAGGCATGTGATCAGTTTGTTTTTGGCAAATCCAGCTAGTGTCCTCAATTTCACTGCTCAGTCTGTCTTCTACAGTTCTTTCTTCTTTCAACACACCGGCTGTATCCCACCGAGGCGGGGTGGCCCAAAAGGAAAAACGAAAGTTTCTCCTTTTGCATTTAGTAATATATACAGGAGAAGAGGTTACTAGCCCCTTGCTCCCGGCATTTTAGTCGCCTCTTACAACACGCATGGCTTACGGAGGAAGAATTCTGTTCCACTTCCCCATGGAGGTCTTCTACAGTTCTTGGTCCATATATAATGTTGGCTGTCTTTCACTCCCTCTCCTCGTTGACAAATGGAGTGTTTAATTTCCACAGCCATTATGATAATTTGCCTTTCATTATATGCCTCCTTCAGGGCCACTGGTGAGCTCTGATAGGTCATCTCCACGGTCCTTGATTTGCTTGCATCAACAGTTTATTCATGCTGCCTGAGGGCTTATGTAACACTTCATCTCAGTAATAATACATCATACTAGTTTTCTTTAATTTCTTAATTTTTTGCAAAAAATGTTATCTGGTGGATAGGATGGGATGTACAACTGTGGGCACATTTTTTCAGTGATAAAGATCATCTTGTGGCTGTTAAAATAAAATAATGTACTACATTATTAGTATCGAGTGAATTTTAAACTAGGGGTTAGCCATAAAGGCATTGTATGAATCTTACACCTTTTGGTGTTTGAAGTACTTGCATGGAATTATTTTTCTGGCACATGCAGATTTTAGATACCATACTCTGAATTTTACACTGTACTTGGATGTACTGTACTCCTAAGGAATAAATTTTACATTTCAAAATGTTGAATGTGGAATCAAAGTATGTACTAGAGAGATTAAAAAGTAAAGCAATTTCAAAAAGCAAAGCGGGATAATTTTAAGAAAAATATTATTATTGTTTACAAGATAGTGAATTTTCTCCATCAAGGTTTGTCATTTAGACCCAGTAGGGTATCACAAGAGCAAGTTTTATGCACCACCATGATGCTTTGGTCTGTCAGGTGCTTGAGCAAATAGAGATTTGTTTGCAGGAATCTGCTTGCTGTGTGTTTTGATCACCACATGTGAACCATTGATTTGGCTGCTGGAATGATCATTGATGACCAGTTAGTGATATGAAAAGTGCCACCCCCATCTAGCCTCTTTGATATTCTTTCAGTTTGAAAATGGTGATATCTTTGTTTGCTAATTCAGGATGGTGAGTTTTCAGGTATTGTACCTCTTCAGTTTCCTTGGTTTCATAGTTTCTTGTGACAGTTGACAAGCAGGTAACACAAAGGGTTTTGTTATTCCTTCCAAAAGACACTAGTGAAGGCAAATCGATTGTTGAATTCAACATAATTGCATTTCTTGCTTGTGATTCTGGTAGCGTGGGAAGAGAAAAGGAAAAGTAATTTTTCTCAGGAAATATGCCAGTACAATAAATGATACAGAAAGAGCTAGAACTAAAATATAATGTTAAAATGTGAAGTAATACAATGAAAATAAGCTGGAATTTTTACCCCATTTTCTTTTATACATATATGTTGTATATGGAAAGACACTTTTTCACACATGATCCTAAATCTGACATGATATTACTGACGAAGATGAATAGTTATTCGTTGTGACGTAATGCAGGTGGTAGTGATACCAGCAGCTGCTGGTCTGTTTATATTTGTATGGTTAAGTGAGGATTTAATATTGTTTTCTAGCAGGGGTTGTTAAAAATCCCATGGGTTTTTAGAAATCTGTTTTTTTTTTTTAAGACCCAGGTTTTTATAGAAAAAGCTCATTTTTTCATTTTGATTTTTTCTCGTTTACTTTTTATGTAATGTAACGTTTTTGTAATTAATCTTAAAGATGTACCTTTGCTAATATAGTTAAAAGAAGTGAGAGATTTAAATTGTCACGCGAACTCATCTAGTAGTGGCAGCAGCAGCAGCAGCAGCTGCTGCCGCCGCCACCGCTGCTGCTGCTGCCACCGCTGCTGCTGCTGCCACCGCTGCTGCTGCCGCCGCCGCTGCAGCTGCTGCCGCCGCCACCGCTGCTGCCGCCGCCACTGCTGCTGCCGCCGCTACCACCGCCACTGCTGCTGCTGCCACTTCCGCTGCTGCTGCTGCCGCCGCCGCTGCTGCCGCCGCCGCTGCTGCCGCCGCCGCTGCTGCCGCCGCCGCTGCTGCCGCCGCCGCTGCTGCCGCCACTGCCGCTGCTGCCGCCGCCGCTGCCGCCGCCGCTGCCGCCGCCGCTGCTGCTGCTGCTGCCGCCGCTGCTGCTGCTGCTGCTGCCGCTGCTGCTGCTGCCGCCGCCGCTGCTGTTGCTGCCGCTACCGCTGCTGCCATCGCCGTTGCTGCCGCTGCTGCTGCTGCTGATTCATAATTAAGAAACACCTCACAAGTCTGTCAGGTCTATAATAGGATTCTTAGGGGTAAAGTTGAGGACTAGTAAGCACTATAAAGCATACATGGTAACACTTTATTCATCGGTGTCATAAAACACTGGTGTCAGTACAGACTTGTATCTGGCATTTAATTATGTTTAAAAATTAATTCTATACTGTCAGTACAAATACTTCACTGACTTTTTCACATTTGTAAGAAGTGCATTTTCATTTTATGCTCTACCTTGCAGTGCTGTACTGTTTTGCTTATATGTAAATATTCAGTATTTATACCATTGATCTACAATTCATTAATGATTTACTTGAATCTGAATTATTCTGCACAGTTTTAATATGTACATCAACAGTACAGCACTTTTTTAAAAATACAACGGATATTGATAATTTGTGCATGGTCCTGAAAGATGCGTTACCAATGATTTTCATGGTTTATGGACTGAAAATCCTATGGGAAAAATTGGGTTGCAATCCTCAGACCTCCAGAAAACCCACATTTTTTTTTTTCTCAATTCCTGAAAAAACTTTTTTCAATCTAATTTTGTGGATGTGCATCTCTGAAATACCTGAATTCTAGTGAGGTTTAGACAGTTAAAAGAAAGAATACATGTAGCTATTTTTTTTTTTAACACACCGAGGTAGGGCGATTAAAAAAAGAAGAAACATTTTCACTATCATTCTATCACTGTCTTGCCAAAGGCATGCTTATACTACAGTTTAGATGCCCCTCGAAACTGCACTTATCTCCACCCTTCCTTAAGAGTGCAGGCATTGTACTTCCCACCTCCAGGAAAGTACAGTTGTGAAACCTAATTGATTTCCCAAGTCCCTTCACTGAATTGTGCCTTCTTCATTAAAACAGCTCGTAAAGTTCCAAAAACATAAACATAAGCTAAAAAGTGATTAAATTCATTCTGTACAGTCCTGGATTTGTTACCTTCCAGTTGGTTTGGGAATACTTAACATCTTGGGGTGGAGAGGGTGGCTGTGGCCATTCTGGCCCAAAGGTTGAAGGTTGGAGACCATGTGATGTTGAAGGTTCTTCAGGTTGTTGTTGCAGTGTAATCATCAGTAACTCTAATATATGCAGCTGGTTTGTTTTATCCCACAGCTCTTTATACAGCAGATGAAAAGGCTCATCTCCCTACTCCAGAGCACACTTTAGAATTCTCCACAATGAGTCATGGTCCTCTTCAACAAAGAAGTCTGAGTTTACCAACAGTTTTCTGTGACTTGCAAATTTCTTGCAGTGTCATCATTGGTTATTGAGACTCAAGATCTTCATTCTCATTGTCTTCTGTTCTCTGCATCTAGGAGTTTATTTCCTACAACATTACCTCTGCAGTTGGTTCCTGATCATCTTCCAAGAGTTTATTGATGTCATCTGGCTGCACATCTTCAAATCTCTCGCCTGGCAATCTCTTTCCTATTCAACAATTTCCTGATTTGACTGTCCACTGCTGGAAATCTCCAGACAGAATTTATTGTTGATTTTGGTATATGATTTGATAGGGGAGTTCATCTGCAGGATGTGTGCACCACTTTTATGCATCTCGTTCGCTTCAAATTATTTAATGATTTTTTTCCCTTTCTTCACCAGTGCCATTTTCACTTTCTTTGCATGCCATGAAAAGTATCCAGACATGATGGAAAGAAAAACTGAGTGATGTGCACTGAGCTAAAATGGTACAGTTTATGTCCAGATACAATGACCCTGCGTGAGAGGCTGTTTGCATCCCCTCACCCTCCTTCACATCCTCCCCTGCAGCGCTAAAACAATGGAGTTGTCCAGTACATGGTGGGGGTCTCTGGTTGGCCTGCTGTGGTGCCCCTTAAATGGAATGCTTGCCACCAATAGAAATGAATTTGCTTTGGTATGCCCTGAGGGTAATGTCACGCTGCAGTTGAAAAAAAAAATTAAATTTCGGAATTTTGAAAATGCGAGCTGTGATAGCACGACTTAGGTTATCTTTTTTACTGTAAAAACACAAATAAAAAAGATTAGAACTAAATTACTATAGCTCTGTATCCAAACCAGCTTTTTGAGTTTAGGTGCCAGGTCAGGCTCATTTTTTATTTTTTAAAAAGCCTAGCCTCAGTGCATAAGTGGTTAGCTTCCCATGACAACTCTGATTCTAGGTCTGTTAAAGTTTACTGTATAGCTGTAACACAAACTCAACTTGATGTGTGCATGTGTCCTACTGTCTGAAATTTGTCATTCAGTTGGAAGTATGTTGCAGGTTATTAATATGACTTTAGAGAAATGGAATATCACTTGATAGGAATTAGATTGTATGAAAGGAAATTTTTTCTAATTTTTTTGTTTTTTTTCTTCAACAAGTTGGCCGTTTCCCACCGAGGCAGGGTGACCCAAAAAGAAAGAAAATCCCCAAAAAGAAAATACTTTCATCATCATTCAACACTTTCACCTCACTCACACATAATCACTGTTTTTGCAGAGGTGCTCAGAACACAACAGTTTAGAAGCATATATGTATAAAGATACACAACATATCTCTCCAAACTGCTAATATCCCAAAACCCTTCCTTTAGAGTGCAGGCATTGTACTTCCCATTTCCAGGTGTGTTTACAAAAAAAAAAAATGCCTTGAGGCAGTGTTTCTCCGATGATGAGAGAGAGACCTGCTGGAGGCTCTGAATGGGTTCCCAAGGGGTTGAGAGTAGCCTGTGCTGAGATGACAACAGTTATTTTTTCTGGTATCTTTAGGGCGTGAGTGGTTAGATTGTTAATTTTGTTTTACAGCTGTTTGGTAAACATTAATGGATTGCAGTTCCTAGAATCCTTATTTGATTGTGCAGTTGTGCGAAGTTGCATTACTGTGCTGCTTCTGATGTCATCCAGCCATGTTTATGACATCAGAATAGATATTCGTTCTTGAGGTCCTCTTTTCTACAAAAAAAGCTATTAATTATGTACATGAGTCATTGAATTATATTAAACAAAAAGAAGAGGGTAAATTCCATTTTTTTTTTTTTGTTGGCACAATAAGAATTGATTATTCACTACATTTTTTGCCCTCCCTCCTCTGTATCATTTATCGTACTGGCATATTATTTTTAGAAGAAAACATTGTTTTTTCTCTTTCTCAGGCCACCAGAATCATGAGCAAGAAACGTAATTACATCGAGTCGTACATTCAATTTGGCTTCACTAGCATCTTTCAAAAGGGAATAACAAAGCCTCAGTGTGTTGTCTGCTTGTCAATTTTGTCACAAGAAAGTATGAAACCGAGCAAACTGAAAAGACATTTGAATGCTTGTCATCCTGAACTGGCAAACAAAGATGTTGCCTTTTTCAAACTAAAAGAGGAGAACGTCAGAAGGCAAAGACCAGACACCCGTGACAATATTCATATCTCTGGTCATTCGGCATTGAAAGCCAGTTATGAGGTTTCCCTTCTTCTGATGCAGAAAAAGAAACCACATACAATTGCAGAAGAATTGATAATTCCAGCAGCCAAATTAATGGTTCGGAATATGTTAGGCGAGCGAGAAGCTCGGTTATTGGACAAGATCCCATTGAGTAATTCTACAGTGAGACGACGCATAATGGACATGGCAGGGGATATAAAGGAGCAAGTTATTGGAGAGATACAGGCATCTGAAGCATGGAGCATTCAACTCGAGAGCACAGATATTGCCTCTGTTGCACAACTGATGGCATTTGTGAGATATCTGTATGAGAATGAACTGAAAGAAGACTTCTTATTTTGTTTACCCCTTGAGGAGCACACCTGTGCAGCCAACATTTTTCAGAAGGTGCAAGATTTTGGTAATCAGCATAAATTGCCATGGCAGAAACTATTTGGAGTAACAACAGATGGGGCATCAGCTATGTTGGGTGCTACATCAGGGTTTCAAGGTTTAATGCGCACCATTGCTCCAAATATAATTGGTCTACACTGCATTCTGCATCGAGAAGTTCTGGATGCAAGAACCTTACCTGAAGATTTGACAACTGTTTTAGACACAGTTGTGAAGACTACTAATTACATTAAAGCTAATCCATTCAAATCATGCTTGTTTTCTCTTTTGTGTCAAGATATGGGAGCAGAACATGAAGTGATCATCCTCCACAGTGCTGTGTGCTGGTTGTCAAGAAGTAGGGTTCTTGAACGCATGTTTGAGCTTCGAGCTGAGGTAACTCAATTCTTGAGGCAGCAGAAGAAGGTGGAGCTGATTTCAAAGCTTGAGAATGCAACATGGATGTTGAAGCTAGCCTACTTAGTTGATATTTTTGGTAAGCTCAATGCATTGAGTACAGCACTGCAGGGGCAGGACATTAATGTTATTGAGGCAACAGAGAAAATTCATGCTTTTAAGGACAAGCTTGGTCTTTGGGTGATGAAAGTAGAGAGGTCCCATTTTGCTGCCTTCCCTACACTGGCACAGTTTGCAGAAGAGGTTGAGGTGGACCCATGTGAAATTAAGAACTCAATTTGTGATCACTTGTGCAAACTGAAGATGGAATTAGATCGATATTTCCCAGAGGTCCCAGAGTTTCACAAGCTCATCTCTCTTGTTCAAAGCCCATTCCTATGTCAAATTGATGTTGTGGAAGAAGACGCAGCTCAAGAAGAGCTCTTGGAGTTACGCCGGGATGGTGATGCCAAAATGCTACACGAATCAGGTGTGAAGACGATTGACTTTTGGCTTAAGATGAGGGGCAAATACCCACAAATTTTCAAGATAGTCACAAAAGTCATAGTTGCGTTTCCAACAACTTATTTATGTGAACGTGCATTCTCAACCTTAGTAGTAATCAAGAGTAAAGCCAGAAACAGGCTCATTGATGTTGATAGCGACATACGATGTTTGTTGAGTAAGACCAGTCCTCGAATTGATTTGTTATGTGTAAAAAATTAAAAAAGACCATTTTTCTAGTCTGGAGACAGCATTTTCCATGGAAGCAAAAAGGAGAAATTATGAGAGAATATAGCAGTACCAACGATCTTATATAGCTGTGAAGCATGGGTGGTGAATGTTGCAACAAGAAGGCTGGAGGCTGTGGAGATTATGTGTCTGAGGGTAATATGTGGTGTGAATATAATGCAGAGAATCCATAGCTTGGAGATTAGGAGGTGCTGAGTTTCTAAAAGTATTACCCAGAGCTCATAGTAGAGGTTAAGATGGTTTAGACATTTTGAGAGGAAGGAACAAAATAAAATAACTTGGAGGGCATATAAATCTAGTGGAAAGAAAGCAGGACAGGGGATTGTGCTAGGAAAGGTTGGAGGGGGAGGGTAAAGAAGGTTTTGTGTGTGAGGGGCTTGGACTTCCAGCAAACGTGCATCAGCGTGTTAGGAGCGAGTGGAGATGAATGGTTTTCATGACTTGGCGTGCTGTTGGAGTGTGAACAGAGTAACATTTATGAAGGAATTCAGGGAAACTGGTTAGCTGGACTCCTGGAGGTGGGAAGTACAGTGCCTGCACTCTGAAGGAGGGGTGTTGATATGTTGCAGTTTTTTTTAACTGGAGTGTAGGAATGCCTCTGGCAAGACAGTGATGGAGTGAATAACGATGACAGTGGTTCTTCTTTTTCCGGTCACCCTGTCTTGGTGTGAAATGGCTGATAGGTAAATAATAAATTTTCTAGACTGTTTGTCGTAGATTTTAGTCATTTTATTTTTTTTATATTTATTTAATATTTAAAAATACACTTGTTCAGTTTCCTATTACTAGGTAGTGCATAGTCCCTACTGATGTTTATCTATCAGTAGTGTGGTAAATAAATATGAGCATAGTATAATGCAAATCATGTTCAAAATCATTGGAATTTGCAGCATAAAGTACAGTAACACAAAGTTTTGTTTTTTATCCCATAACTGAAAATATTGTATCCTTCTAAAGGTGAATAAAGTTAGATAAAATTCCCAATCTGTTTTTTTTTTAATTCTGGTAAGGGTGACAGGGTTGTAGCCATGTTTTCGTACTGGTGGGTCACCTGGAAAAAATTTGGCTGATAAACTGTATTAGATGTTGCAGCCAGTTGAATGGAGGGCATTAAATATGTCTGAAGGTTATAAAAAAATTAATACTGGATAAAAAAATAGGAAGTGGAACTTATGGACAAATGAATAATATCCCATTGTTTCTAAAATGCTAGTAAGACAAAAAAAAAAAAAATAGATGAAACCCTAAGAATAAAGCCTTCCAACTAGGAAATGGGTTAGTTTTTAGTTAACAAATTCATGTGTGCATATCAGATCTAATAAGCTGATTAGACAGGAGATGGAGTGGCACATTTCATTTATTCATATTAAAAAAAAAAATGCTGTAGATTGTGTAAAATACAAATTATTAGTGGATGATGAATTTTTTCTTAAAGGAAAATGCAAATACATGTAGTGGTAATGTGGCAAGAATTGGTGCTTGCTTTGATGTTTCTGACTATATACAGATTTATTATAAGAGATAAAATATTATTATTTTTTTTTATTATCACACTGGCCGATTCCCACCAAGGCAGTGTGGCCCGAAAAAGAAAAACTTTCACCATCATTCACTCCATCACTGTCTTGCCAGAAGGGTGCTTTACACTACAGTTTTTAAACTGCAACATTAACACCCCTCCTTCAGAGTGCAGGCACTGTACTTCTATTATGTAAACACATTTGCAGATGGTGAATATCCTATGCAAAATAAACTATTGAACTGATAACCTGTTAAGTACTTGAGGGCCTGGTCCCAAATTGGCACACTACCATAACATACTGGAGTGAGAGATATGGGAGTAAGTGCAAAATAAACCCAGTGTGGAGCAGGGGTGTGGTGGGCACAATAAAGGAAAATTGCATTAATATTCATGGCCCAGACTATTCAACATCTTACCAGAAGATATCAAAACCATGGCTGGAACAAGTGTAGAAGTCTTAGAGTAAACTGGACAACTATCTTCACCAGGTGCCAGATCAACCAGGCTGTGATGGATGTGTGGGGCAGCAGACCTCCAGCAGCAACAGCCTGGTTGACCAAGCAAGCACCAGATGAGCCTGGCCTATGGCTGGGCTCCGAGAGTAGCAAGACTCAAAACTTATCAAAGGTATATCAAAAATATCCCTTCAATACAGGAAGCCTTGATAGTCTGAGCAAGTGATATGACAGATGGATGATGGAATACAGTGTTGATAAGATTCACATAATAGAGATTGGCGAATGAAAAAAATAACCACACAAAGGAGGTACATCGCAATTTAATACTAATACCATCTAACACAGACGGGTTTGGAGATTGTCGTTGATGAGACTGGAATATATTGAAATAGCGAGAAATCCATATGCTACACCAGTCAACTTTAAAAATGTCCTTTTAAATGTGTATACATGTGCAGTGCTTAAAAACTGTTTACAATATATGTTAAGCCAAATTTGAAATAAATGAAGATTTGGTGTCTTGCCTTTAATTAATGTGTGTGTCAGAGAAGTCCAGAGGTAAGCTACAAGATCACTCCTAAAATTGAAAGAATAACACAAGTTGCTTAGAGTAACTAATTATTTAAGACACGTGCTCATTGGTTGATAAGAGGAAGGGGAGATATAACCACAGCCCCCACACTGTATATTGTACTAAGTATTGGCTGCACTTACGTAAAGTCAACCCATAATTTTACTCAGAAAGGTTGTATGTACTTTTATTTTTAATGTCTGTCTTGCTGTTATTACAGTGTTTAAGGTTTTTTGTAGTTTATTGTGGTTAATACTAAAACCAGCTTCTGAAAAGTTGTACTGGAATTTTTTTTTATTAACACATCAGTCGTCTCCCACCAAGGCAGGGTGGATCGAAAAAGAAAAACTTTCATCATTCACTCCATCACTGTCTTGCCAAAGATGTGCTTACCCTGCAGTTATAAAACTGCAAAATTAACACTCCTTCAGATGGGTCTTTGAAGGATGAGGTGAATCATAGAATGGATGAGGGGAAAAAGGTGAGTGGTGCACTTAGGCATCTCTGGAGACAAAGAACTTTGTCCATGAAAGCAAAGAGGGGAATGTATGAGAGTATAGTTGTACTAATGCTCTTGTATGGGTGTGAAGCATGGGTGATGAATGTTGCAACAAGGAGAATTAAATCCATAATTATGGTCCCAAGTACCCCTTTGGGATTCAGCGAGAGCTGTAGATGGGCCAAGATTTATTTGTGAAATAAGTATGTACATGGAGTCAACAGAGTTTTACTTTTTTTTTTTTAATAGCTGAAGATCACATCACAGTAATAAAGTACTACAGCCTCTCCTCACTTAACGATAGAGTTCCATTCCTAAGACCACGCTGTTAAACAAATTCGTCGCTGAGTGAGGAGCATACTATAATGGTAGTAGGTTTGTGTCAACATCTTTGATATTGTTTTAATGTCACCTTTGCACCATTTATAACATTTCAGTTATATTTTTAAATGTTTATTTAAAAATATACCAGAAATGTCTGGAATGGATTAATTGGATTTACATTATTTCTTTTGGGAGATATTAACAAAAAATATATTTTATAGCGAATAACTATAGTTTTACATATCAACTAGGGCATAGGAAAAACGAAGTTCCAGTGTATGTTGAAATAACAGAATTGAGGAAATCGACTCGAATACACATTATTTAGGTATAAATACAGGTCAGAATCTGTCATAAATGAGTACGTTGCTAAGTGAGGAGAGGTTGTATATGTGTTTTTCTTTTAACACTGGCCTTCTCCCACCAAGACAGGGTGACAAAAAAAAAAAAGTTTTCTTTTTACGTTAGTAATTTATACAGGAGAAGGGGTTACTAGCCCCTTGCTCCTGGCATTTTAGTTGCCTCTTATGACACGTGGCAGAGGAAGGATTCTTCTCCACTTCGCCATGGAGATATGTCAGTCATATCATGTGTAATGTACCACTCGTGCCATTCTACTTAGTCAGACATGATAAGCATGTTGCTTGAATCTGCCATGATTTCGTATGTTTGTTTGGCATTTCATAATGGTCATGGCTCTTGTACTACATGAATTAGCCAAGGTAAGATAAGATTTTGTTTGGATTTTTAACCCCAGAGGGTTAGCCACCCAGGATAACCCAAGAAAGTCAGTGCGTCATCGAGGACTGTCTAAATTATTTCCATTGGGGTCCTCAATCTTGTCCCCCAGGATGCGACCCACACCAGTCGACTAACACCCAGGCACCTATTTGCTGCTAGATGAACAGGAAATGTGTCGAAATATTTCCACCCACAGGGAATCAAACCCGGTCGTCCGTGTGTTAAGCCACCGGGTCACTGGTGACCTGGTGACCTGAATAACATATCCTAACTGTAAGCCACACTGGTTTTACCCTGTGCCTTGAATAGCCTAACCTAAAAGAATATTGGTCATGCTTGTTCTCTCTGGTTTTTGTGCTTCAAGGTTAGGCATGAATGAGGTAATGGTAAAATATGTACTGCATGTAAGTGTATCAAGTTAGTGAGCATGATAATATAACCTTTTAATTTCTGTAGATGTAAATGAAGTACTATTATAAAACTCTGACTGGTGAATGTGCAAAATTATAAATCTTTAGTGAAGAAAATTACTTTCTGTAATTGGTCAATTCCTGCTGTAAGTGTTTTGTATTTCTTCAGGAATTGCAAGATGCAATCTTTTTACCTTTTCTTAACATTTGTTACTATCTTTTTTGAGGTAATCACATAGTATTGACATAGCTGTAATATATTTATGTAATACCGGTGTTGACTGAATCGACTCAAAAATGAAGTTTATTCATTTTTTAAAATCTCCGTGAGATCCACAATTCAGTTTCACTGGGAGTTTTAAGACTGTAATGTTGGTTAATGATCAGGAGTTACTATATGTACAAAATAACACTCATTCAAATGTGTACACATGAATTTTCTTGACTGGGTATTTTGTAACATTTTATCATTAATTTCAGAGCGGTGATTTTGTAATGGCAAAAAAGGATATGGATATGATGGAGCATCCTCCAATCTGGAGGATTGATGGAAAATCACTTCTGCAGAAGTTCCAAGCATTTGAAAAAGATGGCAAAACGCTATACAGGAACATATCTACTGTAAGAATAAAATCATGAAATACAGTAATAGCTTAACAGAGATGCTGTTTAGATACATATATTTATGTATGTATGTAGTGTTTTATTTTTGTTTTAGCACTGTCTTCCACTGTGGTAGGGTGATCCTAAAAAGAAACATTTCACCATCATTCACACTATCACTCTTGCCAGAGGTGCATAAATACTACATTTCAAATGCCCCTCCAAACTGTACAAATATTCCCATCCCTCTCAGCGCAAATTACGCATCTGCGATTTTGCTGACTTGAGGTATATTTTAAGAGTTCTGTTACTACAATCAACCAAGCTCTAAAGTATTTCACTAGTATGCCTTCCATTCTATTGATTATGAGAAATTGCCCATTCAGTAATTTGGCCAATTTTACTCAAAATTAAAAAAATACTATTTAAAAAGTCCAAAATGAACATTGTAGACATTTCTGGCAATAAAACAGTTCCTCTCTTCATTAATCACATCCCCAGGCCTCTCATATTACACTTGCCTTCAGATTTGAATTCATAATCACACAAAAATAGAATATTTACTCAATTTTTGTGATAAAATATAACCAGGAATGCTTGGATATTGTTAACATTGCCCAGTAATTGAATCGGTGTAGGGTGGCCATGCCCGCCCTCAGGAAAAATTCCTGAGGGCGGGCATGGCCACCCTACACCGAATCTTTCTGTTAATTTGAGCTCAGTTTCAAACTGCGCTCAAATTAACAGAAATATTCGGTGTAGGGTGGTCATGCCCGCCCTCAGGAAAAATTCCTGAGGGCGGGCATGGCCACCCTACACCGAATCTTTCTGTTAATTTGAGCTCAGTTTCAAACTGCTTCTGGTCCTGAAACCAACCAAAATCATCTTTATTTCAATATTGTCTTCCATTCTTTCTAATGCTACCAAGAAACAGACCATAAACCATCCAAGAAAACACCTCATAACTACTATTTTAAGCCATACACACAGGCAGAGTTTCCCTTTTTCCATCATGTATTGAGTAGATGAGATTTTTTTTTATATACTGTGCACACTCACCACACAGACCCATTTCACTCCTATCTAAGCCAGAATTTACCACTCACATTTTATCTAAGCGAGCTGAGCTCATGACATAGAACTACAGGAAGGACCCTGACCCAGTGATGTAGTTCTATGTGATGGCTACTGAAAGGATTAAAAGGTATAACAAATATGGTATAGTAAAAATTTGTGCATTTATTAATGCTCTTGGGAGCTTTTATCTAGGTGCTGGTTATTTATATTAAGGATAAGAAGAATGACTGATATTTTAAGGAATCATTTTTAAGTATCTTGTAGTATTTGGAAAATCCATTTTTCTTACCTATGCAGAGTAGCAGAATGTAAAATGAACAGAATAATTTTGTTTTTGGCACTGATACTTGACAATGTAACAAGGTCAAGCCTGCTACATGTAAAATTTGGTGTTAGGTCTGATCTGCATGTTAATATAGTTTTTTTTCAAACCTCAGTAAATTTTATTTTATTTTATTTTTTATTTTATGTATTTGTATTTTTTTTAATGACAGTATTCAGGATGGACATCTCAGGCGAAGGCCCTTTATGTTGGAGTCCGTGTCACATTTGTGTTCCAGTCTCGGTATGATACTGTGGTGGAGTTGGTTGGGGTTCGAAATGCAGATGAGGAACCTGACAAACGAAAAGACGAAGAAGAACCGTAAGTTAAAAAAGTCTTAAGATTCACTTACAGTTGACTTGCTAGAGTTGACTTGCTAGTAAATCGTCTTTAGAATACAGTACAGTATTAAATAACTGGAAGACTTTCTAGTATCTAACATATACTAAGGGAGTGTTTCTATTGCATACACTATTATATGGAAGCTATTTTCCATATGATTTAGCAAAATGATCTTTTTTTTTTTCCTTAATTTGTGAATATGCCTATGTAGTGGCCCCTTAAGTTATAATAGGAAGTGCTCAGCAGATGGAGGATCAAGCCTCCATAATGCCTTGTGCTGAATGACCCACATGTGTTAGTGATAGACATGAATTATTTTTCTCTTTTTTCTAATTAGTGCTTTATCATAAATACTGTTACAGACTACACTTTTTTTTTCCAACATGTCGGCCATCTCTCACCGAGGCAGGGTGACCCAAAAAAGAAAGAAACACTTTCACCATCATTCACATGATCACTGTCTTTGCAGAGATGCTTAGATGCAAGAATTTAGATGTCATTCCACACAGCCAATATCCCAAACCCCTCCTTTAAAGTGCAGGCATTGTACTTCTTACCTCCAGGACTCAAGTCCGGCTGATCAGTTTCTCTGAATTCCTCAAGTCAAGTCCCAAAAACCATTCGTCTCCATTCACTCCTATCTAACATGTTCACACGTGCCTGCTGTATGTCCAAGCCCCTTGCACACAAAACCTCT